TGTTTACCTTGCAGCCTCCACGCCCTCCTCTCTCTGAACAGATAGTTAGGTGCTCATGTTCTCAGAACTGGCTATTGAAACCACATGCAGAAAGAGGGAGCAACTTTCTCAAAAAAATGTACCTCTTTGCTGTTCTCTGAGCATAGTGGTGCAGTGCCTGTGAGCCTAGGCTTTCAGGAGACCCGGATTCCGAGTGGCTGATGTTGACTAGGCTTCATAGAGAACCTCATCTGGTCAGCATTTACTGTTTATCTTTGTCCTAGAAGACTGCTGGGGGTTCTGTAGCTTATTTGGTGCCTCATGGAACACTTAATTAGATGCAGCACTGCTGGGTGCTGCGGGTGAGAGAAGAACTGGAGTCTGGGAGTTTGTGGTTTAGTATGTATGATGAATTAAACAGAAGAATAGTTCTATCACAAGCAGAGAAGACCCTTGCTATAGAGCCTGTCGAGTGCTTCAGCTCATCACATCTAAGGGGGCTGCTGCTGTTTTTGACTACAACAACTTTTCTGTGGAACACATCTCTAAAATTTATGATGCAAGTCAGGGGGAAAATGATTTGATAACTGACACAACTGTAGTCAGAATGTGTCTTTGGAATAAGCCTGGGCATAACCATGCTTCCATGTCTTTTTTTTTTTTTTTTTTTTAAGATTTTATTGATTTACTTTTAGACAGAAGGGAAGGGAGGGAGAGAGAGAGAAACATCGATGTAGTGAGGAAAATCGATTGGTTGCTTCTCATATATGCTCTGACCATGGATGAACCCGCAGCCCAAGCATGTGCCCTGACTGGGAGTCCAAAGGGAGACCTTTCAGTTTGCAGGACAACACCCAACCAACTGAGCCACACCGTTCAGGGCATTCATGAATGGCACTAGTTATTTTCTCACTAGCGTGTTTTGAGAATGGTAATTATACATACACACACACATACTTATTATTAAGACATGTAATTATCATTAAGATCCATTATCTTTACAGTGGTGCTGTGAAATTTCCGTGTACGTGTCATTTCCCTGCATGTGTAGGTAGCCACATGACAGTGACTGCTGAGAGTGTTCCTGCCTTAAAAGGCAGTCTTGGAGAGCAAAAGTGAACTAGCCTCTAGGCAGCTATTGAAGCTCCTTAGGAACCAGTTAGAACAGCCTTAGACTCTGGATATTTGTGGGTTTTGGAAAATTCCCCAGGGAAGGAGTAACTGTAATTAGAGGCAGGTCATCTTAGTTGCTTCAGTTAAATAGAAAAGTAGAGTTCAGGGTATGTTGCCATCTGTGGAAAGGGGAAGCGATGGGAGGAATGCGGTTGGAGAGAGCTCTCTCCCTCTACCCTACCAGCTGTAGAGCTGCATCTAAGACAGTAGCTGGTCATGGCTGCAGAGCTGCTGTCCCTAGAGTAGGAATCAGGATGTGTTCATGTACATCACTAACCAGGAAAACTAATTTTCCCCCTTCTCTCCAACCCACAAACAAGTCTGTAATCAAAAGCTTAAAGTTTAGATGTTTGGCATATTTTATATGAAAGTTTCTACTGTGTTTTTCTTCCTGCACTGCGTTCATCTAACATCTATATATATTTCTCTAAAATCTACTTTAAAAGAAAATTTTTTTAAGAATGAACTTTGTTATTTGAATTTATTGGAGTGACGTTAGTTAATAAAATTACATAGGTTTCAGATGTACAATTCTGTAACATATCATCTGTATGTTGTACCGTGTGTTCACCATCCCAAGTCTTCTTACCACCACTTATCCCCCCTTTACTCTCTTTACCTCCACCCACCCCCCCTTTCCTGACACAGTAATCACCATGCTATTTGTCTGTGTCCATGAGTTTTTTAAATCTAATTTTTAGCTTCTCATTTCAATTTTCTGCTTAATCATTCTCTTAAATTTTTATTATTTTTTCTTAATTGAATTTATTGGGGCGACATTGGTTAATAAAATTTTATAGGTTTCAGGTGTACAATTCTATAATACGTCACCTGTATATTGTATTGTGCGTTCCCCACCCCAAGTCAAGTCTCTTTCCATCACCATTTATCCCCTTTTACCTTCCTCTACCTCCTCCCATCCCCTTCCCTCCGGTAATTAACATACTGTTGCCTGTGTCAATGAGGTGGTGTTTTTTTTTCTTACTTTTATAATTTTTAAATTATTTTTTAAATTGTTCAAGCACAGTTGTCTCCATTTTCCCCATCACCACTTTCCCCTGCCCCACCCACCCCCACTTCCTCCCCTCAGTCCTTCCCCACTTTGGCTTTGTCTGTGGGTCCTTTACACACCTTCCTTGACTTGACCCTTCCCCTTCTTTTTCCGTTCCCCCTCCACTGCCTCCCTAAACTTTTATTTTTTAGAAAGAAATAGAACTGTATTCTGAAATTTTATTATCAAATATTCTCTTATTTCCATTTGTTGTTACTAACATGCATTTTCTTTGTGGATACCTGCTTAGCTTGAGAACTAAAATAACATTTTTTGATACTTTATTGGGATTTTCTAGATTGGATATAATAATTTTTAAAATTTTTTCTTAATACTTTTAAAAAAAAATCCCAGAGGCATGGGTGACTAACATAGCTCGCAGCTTGTTAAACCTGTTTACTGTGAGATATTGGGTTGGCCAAAAATTTCCTCCATGTTATAGGACAGGTACAGAAGGTCACCAGGGTGGAAAGCCCCAGGTGCCTAACAACGGGCAGAACTGGGAAAACAAGGACCTCGCCTGCGGTGGGGGTGGGGGGGGGGGTGGGAACCTTTCCTCCCCTAGCATATCACTGGTCATTTGGTTTAAAGCATCTGACCTTTGTATCACTGGTCATGTGGTTTAGATCCCCCTGACTTTTCCTCCCTGGAGATAACATCTCTGCCCCAGTGGTGTTTCAGCTTCAGGCCCAGAAAAGAAGCAAAATCAGACAAGTTACACCAAGGTTGACCTCAGGACCAGCTGCACTGACTAACAGCCCCCTGCCCTGGCTCAGTCCCATCCGTGGAGAGCAGGACCCTAAAAAGGACACACCTGGAGAGCTGATGCAGAGTCAGCTGAGATCCTCCCTTGGGACTTCCCCTAAAAGCACCACCCTTAAAAGCCCTTGGGATAGAGGACCTAGCACATTCTTCCTCCTGGGAGCACCTCCCCACCTTCTTGTTTCCCCTAGGCGAGTTACCTTTATCCTTCTTTCTCCTAAGCTCCAAGGGCCCTTGTTTTGCCTCTTGATTCCTGAACCCATTTCTTCTGCTCACTTCCCCTACCTCTGTGCCTTTCTAAATAAACTTTCTCTTATAGTTTGAGTCTTGGCTCTGAATTCTTTCCTAGTCAGAACAAGTACCACGAGGTTGCTGAGCCGAGGTTTGGTCTGACTCCACCAGTCTAACACCTGGTGCCGTTCTCACTCCCATCGGCACTTCCTGAGAGATTTTGGTTGTCTTGATTCATTGACACTATACATATATTGATTCATTGACACTAACACATACACACATATATATATAAGGACTCATTTGAATTAGGGTATCTCAAGGAAAGTATGTGTAACTGCTGCCTTGCTCCTGCCTGCCTGCTTGTGTTGAGCACTGAGTTTATGCTACAGCTTTACTCCAGGGATGAGAACGAGGTTCCCTGCCTCTGGGAGCATAGAGCAGGGTGTTAGAATGCAGTATGATGAAGCTGGTGCAGAAGTTAGTACAAGCTGCTCTGGGAACCAGCACAGGAGAGGTGCCATTGTAGGTGGGCTTTTTTTTGTTTTTGTTTTTAGAGAAAGAGAGGGAAGGGTAGAGAGAGACATCGACTTGTTGTTCCAGTTACCATGCATTTGTTGGTTGATTCTTGCGTGTGCCTTGACTGGGGATCGAACCCACAATCTTGGCGTACCAGGACAATGCTCTAACCAACTGAGCCACCCAGCCAGGGCATGTAGGTGGATTTTAAAGGAGATGCTGTGGCCTGGCAAGGGAGCAGCTGGAGTGGAGACTTGATGGAAAGGAAGAACATAGTACTTTGGGGGACAGGGAGTGGCCAGATGTGACAGGCTGGATGTGGAGGCTGTGGCAGGAAAAGAGGACAAGTTGAAATCAGCTCAGAACGGGTCTTGTTGGCATTTGATCCCATACATTAGTGGGTTCTCAAAGCCTGAACCCCAGACCAGCTGCATTAGCATTTCTTGGGAACTTGTTAGACATGCAGATACCTGGATCCAGCCCTAGACTTTTAGGGTCAGGTATTTTGGGTGGGGTGAGGCTGTTTCACCAGCCCTCTAGGGGTCTGCCCAGGCTGGGAAAAGAACAGTCAAGGCTCTTTAAGCAGCCTTGAATTTTGTAAAGGTCACTGAGGGCCCTTTGGAAGGTGGGATAGTGTGGGGGAGTTAGAGACTGAGTCATTGGCATTATTGTGGATGGGATGCAGGCCTGGACTGAAGGCAGTAGGAAGGAGGAGAGGATGGATTTGCTGGAGATAGATTTTGTAGGACTTTATTGCTCATAGGCAGTTTAAAAGCTGAGAAGACAGCTGTGCTTTGCTCTGTGACCTGGCCCCAATCGGGGATGGCAGGGTTTTAAAGGTCCTTGCTGCCTTGTGTGTTCCGGGAATATGTTTCTGCTAGTGAGAAAACCAATTCATGTAACTTGCCTGAACCTCTTCAGTCTCCTTTTGGATGTTGTTGGCTTAACCCGAATGAGGGGGCAAGTTGCACATTCAGGGCTCAGGGCCGGGGCCTTAGAAAGGACGATAAGCTGTGGGAGAACGGGGGCAACGATTTCATTCACATGTGCCCAGCTACTGGCAAATTTAACAAACAGCACATGGCATTCGGACTCACATTGTGCATCGTCTCTAAGTTGGTGAGGTATACCCTTCTGCTGTTCAAAGTTTACCAATCACTAACTCTCTTTCGCCCATGTTAAGTATAAAGATGGGTCTCCAGTTTCAGTTACAGTGATTATTCTGTTAGAAGCTTTATCCTTCAATATTTTTAAGTATCTTTTTATATCCTGTTTTCTTTTACAGATTTGTAAGACTCCAGGGCCTTCAAGCTGTGAGTAATCAGATGGTTCCTGAAATGACTGGGAAAGCAGACGCATTATGCGCCAGTTGAAGAGTGTATGTCTGTGTACATATAAAACCTCTCTATGCACACACACACTTATACAAGAAGACAGGCTCGTTCTGGTGCACACCTGAAGCATTTTACAACTGATGAAAATTCATTTAAGGATCAGATGGAGCAACTTGACACCACTGGGCTCAGGAGCCCAGGGAGAAAAGTACATCACTAATGGCCAAGTTTCCATGTGGTCTTCACGGGTAAAGAAAGTTTGCAAAAAGAAGAAAAAAAAAACTTGCACAGATCAATCCTCAAAAATACCTCTCCAGTTTAAAGGAGCTAAGTGAGACAGTGACTGAGGGAGAAGTGTGATTTCACACATTGTAGGTGGAATCAGGCAGTGTTTTTTGCACTTTATTTTTCAGCGGATTTGGTGATTTAGACAGACTTTAAAATTCTGGGCTGACAAGTAACTCTTACTGTGAGATTATGACTGGAGGAAGGCCAGTTCACTTTTGATGGGACAAGCTAGAACAATGAACCGGTTCCTTTGCCTTTTTCAGTTGACTGTACTCAAGAAATTTTAATTTATTACTTCCCTTTCCTTTTCTGTATAGGATAATATCTTAGGTAGCAATTGAAACCAATAATTACAAAACATCGAGGAACATCCAAGCAAAGCTTCTTTTCATTGTTCCATGTGGCGTTTAGAAACATCCTCCGAATGTGAACGGGAAAGGGCCCATCAGCAAAACGTGAGGAAGAACCCAGCCTGTGCTTGTGTTTTCATTTTAAGGGATTCTCTTTTTTGTTGAGTTTTCTGTTGAAGACTTGCTTTTATAAGGGGAGGATTACTTGATGGACTTAATTCTAAGATTAGCTTTTATTTCCTTAAAGATGAAAAAATGTGTGATTTTTAGAAGCAGAAAGGAGAGAAGTTAGGGTCCAGGAGGGAGGAAGAGGAAGGAGACAGACAAAAGAGACGAAATCCTGCAGCGAGGCTTCATTTTGTCAGCAAGAGAATTTGGGATTCACCTGAGGTGAACACTGGATGGTTTTCGGGGCCCTAGAACGCTTTGGCGGTGCAGAGTGACGACCATCTCTCCACACCTCCGTGGCGCTAAAGGTGCCGTGGGCCAGTTGGGGGGCAGCCAGATAGAGCCCCGTGCTCCCTGGGACACAGTGACCTGCCAGGAGACCTGGTTGGGCTCTGAGGTGGGGCGTTTTGGGTTCTGAATAGCAGGAAGGTGTTTTCTTCCTAAGTTTGGATGACTGCACAAACTCTGGTGGTTTTGCACGGTTTGTGTGCCTTTTTTTCACTTTATGCAATCTTTTTCAGCTTTAGCAGCAGAAAATTGTCTAGTTGAGAAAGCATGCGAGAGGATGGCTTCAGAAAGAGGATGATCCCGTGTTCTGTTTCTGCATCTGAACTTTCGGAGAGAAAATTCCAGCTCGAGGGATTCTTAAAGCCTTAAGTTACTTGAAATCTATGTATTTGCAACCCTTGGTCTCTGGAATCATATCACACTAAACTGGAATCTCAGGCTGAATGAGAATAACCAAGTTGAGTAAAAGGAAGAAAACTCAGTTTCTTGATCATCACGTATTAACGACGCTCTTTCTCCAAAGGGTCAGCCCACTCTTCCTCTAAGAACTTGAAAATAAAGTGGACCCCACGTTTTTTTAAGCATTATCTTTTCTTAGCAGACTGCCATCATCTTTTATAGAGGAATTTTTTCACTATGCATTTGGTGGATCTTTATAAAATACTGGCCTAAAATACTGATCCAGGTCAATCTTAATTAAAGGAGTCAGGCAGATCAACACAAGCCAACCACAAAAATAGAATAAATCGATGAAAGTAATTGGTTTAAATTTTTTGGCATTCAGCATTACTTTTTAAGTAAAATCGTTCACTGAAAGAAATTATGTATGCAGCGGTGGAACAGGGGCCTGTCCTTTGCAGCGACTCTAATATCCTCTGCCTGTCCTGGAAGGGGCGCGTCCCCAAGAGCGAGAAGGAGAAGCCTGTGTGCAGGAGGCGCTACTACGAGGAGGGCTGGCTGGCCACGGGCAATGGCCGTGGCGTCGTAGGCGTGACCTTCACCTCAAGCCACTGCCGCCGGGACAGGAACACTCCACAGAGAATTAACTTCAACCTGCGGGGCCACAATAGTGAGGTGAGCTGGGGTTTCCTCTCACTGTTTGGTCACTTCTAGAGGTATTTTTGAGCACCTCCCCTTCCGTGGACCCACAACTTACTTTGCTTCAGTTTTTTAGATTTGTCACCAAGTGAAACTTTGCAAACTGTGACTTCTGTCTTTGGTGTTTTGGTGGGATAGTGTTAGGGCAGACACAGTGCCCATCGCTTAGTTACCCATTCTTTGCCCCCTTCCACGACAATGAGCAAACCCTTCGTCCCACCCGACATGTCCTGCCAGGTCCAGGGAGGGACTGCTGGAGGTCAAGACTCGGCCTGGGCCTTAGGGCAGAACCCAGCCGCCTTGTCAGCTCTAATGATCTGCTGATGTCACAACTGAAAAACTTGGGACTGTTTTTCTTCTAGAAAACAATTTCTTACAGATATTATCGCTGTCATGCAAGTTAGTCATGGTTAGCACTGATTTTTTTTATTTAACAGGATTTCCTTTACTTAGAAACAGACAGGCAGTCGTGTGTTTGGTAGAAGAATTGATTTCATTATAGGGACACGACACTCTAAGAATGTTCTCAGCTAGATTCTTGGATTTGGTTACATCTTCTCTGAGAAGCTTGTCCTGACCCTGTTTGTTCCTCCTTTCCTCCCCACCCCTGTTCGCCCCTTGTGCTCTGAGCAGCCTTCTGTGGTTGTACTGGTAACGACAGTCATCTGCTGTGTGGGTCAGTAAGCTTACTGGAAGATTGTCTGTTCTTACGGTCCTAACTTCCTCACCTCCCATTCTTTAAAATGTCACTTATTTTAATTACTTTTAACTCATTAACCCATTTCAGTGTGGCTTCCCCCCACCCCTCTAAGTGAAATAATCACATTCCCAGTGAGTTCACATTGCTAAACCCACAGGTCACTTGATTGCAGTCGATGTCTGGTGGCATTCAGAGGAGTTGAAATGTTACTTTGTCTTGCTTTCTGGGATACCACCCTCCTTTGGTTTTCCTTTTGCCTTCATGCCATCTGCTCGTCGTCGTTCTCTCCTTTCTCAGTGAGTTTTCACCTCATGTTTAAATGTTGGAGGGCCCCAGGCATGCATCTTTTTCTAGATGGCCTAAGTTGGTTTTGAATCCACCTTTATACTGGCGACTCCCAAATTTATATCTCCCATTTACGTTCAGACTCTCATTCCAGAGTCCATTCTTCGACTTGATATATTAGATAACAAAATTGGATGTCAGTTACCCGGCATCTCAATCCGCAGGTCACCCAAGAGAACTCATTTTCCAGCTGGCCCTTCAGCCACCAGACCTGTTTCACCCTCTGTCTTCTTCCCAGGAGCAGCCAGCCAGTGAGGCTACAACACAGAAGTCCTCCTTCCCTTTCCCTGTTCCCAAATCCAGTTATTAGGCATGATCTCCCACTGTATTTGACTTCTAAATGCTGTCTGAAACATGGCTCTCTCACTCTCCTTCTGCATTTCACAGGTCTTTTGTCTTCACCTCTGCTGTTTAACCTATTGTGAGGGCTCTGCTTAAGAGGGTATATTTATATTTAGTTTCTTGAGTATTAAAATAGTTTTTAAAATTTAAATCTGATGTACTTTAATTATCTTTTCTCTTTCCTAGCAACACTATATGACATATGTCACAATTCCAAAAAGAATGGGAATTTCTAGGTGATAAGAATGTTCTCCTTTGCAGTTGAATTTTAGGTTTCCATTGTGTTCATGGTAAGTTTGAAAACCTGGATTTGGCCTTTAACCTCCTTCCTGTCGTTCACCCTCTTTCCTGTGGTTCACTTTCCTTTCTAGAAGACCCAGAGCTACTGTAGACTGCCAAACCTGGTCTCTGTTTTTGCATCACAGTGCATGGTGAAAATCAGCTTTCTTAAAGTTAGGAGAGAGTTGAAAACCACTTTGGATTTTAAAACATTTATACAGGGTTTAACATATTTAAGGATCTATACACTCATTCTAATGAGAAAATTTGGCTAATTTTGGATTAAAGCCAGTGAAAAGTCACTGCAAACTTTTTATCTTCTAATACAGTCTTCGTAAAAAGTGAATTTTAGTAGACTTGTGATCACCCAGAATGGCGTCATAGTGATGGCTGTCAGAGAGAACTCTGTTTTATTTTCTGTGGCGATGACCCATTCCCCTGCCCTTGCCCATTGCTGTTTTTCTGTATCTCTCTTCATGAAGTTCTAACTCTATCACTTAACTAGCTGGGGTGGTCCTGGCTAAGTCATTAGTTTACTCATGGTTAAATTGAAATAATAATTCCTTTCTTTCACAGTTGTTGCGAGAATCTATGAGAAGGTATTTTGAAAGGGCTTTGAAAATGGTGAATGCCATGTATATAGTGATGGTAAAGCACCTCACACCCTATTTACTTAATTATATTCTTTCCAATCCTTGTGATACCGTTAATACCCTTAATTATGGTTACTGGTCTGACTCATGAGGCCAGAAACAGTGTTTTTTTAAATATCTCTTTCACACTTAAGATTTGAACGCATACGCAGTCAGCAGATAATTGATTGCGTCTGTTGTGTGTGCCGGGTGTGTGTGCTTTTGCCACTGTGGGGCAGGATGAATCATGGATTATGCCTCACGGAGGCCATAGCCCCGCAGTGAAGGTGAGGTGTGGACCTGGATGTCTCTGTCTGTATTTGCAGTTCAGTTAAGCACAGAAAGGAAGCTTTGGGTTATTGGAGGAATTAAGGGTAAAGATTTTCACCACAAAGCTTTCTGTGGTGGGGGGCGCAGGGGGCAGGGGCGGAGAGTTTTGGGCATGAGTCGGATCTTAAAGCCCCATCATTTCTGTAAATACTGAGAGCTCTTGTGAGGCTGGACCCTGCCAGGCTTTTTGGCGTCACAACAGTGAAGAAGGAGCTATTTCTGCCCAGCTGACCTGCCTGTCAGAGGATGGATGTTGTGGGTTGCATGGAAATAATGCTGTTGCTGCTACCGCTACCAGTTGCCAAATATTATATGGCCACAATTTTCTATGTGCTTTGTGCACATTATTTTGTTTAACCCTCATAACCACTCTCTACAGTTTAGTTTTATTATCCCTGCTGTACCTTTGAAGAATCTGACATTCTGAGACATTATGGAAGTTGTCCAAGGCATAGAGCTGGATGACAAAGGTGGCAGACTCAAGTGTCAATTCATACCTGTGTGTTTTTCCTTGTGTGAGACACTGCTTCAAAAAAGGTGAACCATAATGGGCCCGGAAACAGTTTCGAGTGACTGTGGCTTGGGTTTTGGACAGTTAAGGGCTTGGTGAGGCATTGGAGGGCAGTGTAGGGCAAAGCTGGGCTGGGGGACTGTACTCGGAATAGTCATGATAAAACAACAATAAAAGATGTTCATGGGATGAAAGAAGGCAATGCTTTTGTTTTGGGTTGCATTCTAAGACTTAGAAGACTTGTATTCAAAAAGAAGTGTTAAAATCAAATGTGAGTATAAAAATTATTATTCAGTTCAGTGCATTTATCCACAAGTACAGATATCTCAGAGTTAATAGCATTGGATGTCTTTAATTTATTATGGATATAATAGTTTGCAAAAAATAGCCTATAAATATCAGTCACTCTGATTTGTGATAGTGTATGAGTGCGCCTAGATTCATGAGACAAAGAGTGTAACCAGTTATTATAGATGGAAGGTGTTTGAGAAACAGATCTTGTTAAAGTATTTTATTAACTCTTATTTTGATTAGGGAGCTGTTCCAGCAAAGAGGCAGACATAAGACTATTTCAGTATATTAAGATGAGAATTTTGTTTCACCTAAACTGACTTAATATATTTTTATACCAAAGCTCAGTAGTGTGAGTGAATTTTTATCATAGTAATACTTACACATGAGTAAATGCTAATAATGAAAAATAGCCATGTTCTAATTCCTGTTCCCGTCTTCTCCACTTCCCCACAAATGTTTATATTATTATCTTTTCAATTAATTGGTTTTGGGATTTTAGCTATTGACTTTTTTTCTATCTTAGGAAGTGCAGATTGAACCCTTCCTCTCTCTAAGTCATTCAGCCCAACTTTGCCCCTCTACTTAATCATCCCATTATTACTCTGTTGTAGTAATTGGTTAACTCATAATTCAGTGTTTACATTTTTAAAACTGTGTCAATATTATGCCCTGTTGAGCCAGGTAGAGTACTATGATTATATTTCCTTTATTATTCAGTGCTTTTTTCCTAATGATAAACATTGTGTTTTTTCTTTTTTGCACTTGTTTAGTCTCTTGACCTATTGTGAATCTTCCTACATCTTCAATATATTTCTACATATTCAAATCAAGAAGATCATTTATCCTTTTTTTTTATTATTTTTTGTTATTTTTCTGGAGGCTTCCATTTTGGAGTCCTTTGTCCTCCTGCACACTCTGATTTGGTCTCTTAGTGGGCCTCAGCCAGCGGGCCTGCTGCACAGCTGACTTCCTGAACTGCCTTTTATTGTCATCTTGGGGATTCATTTGTCCTTCTGGATCCCTTATTTTTTGTATCTTGTATCTTTGTCTTTCCTGGTTTAACAAATTCTTTCTTGTAGAGTATGTTTATACTCTTCAGTATCTAAGAAAGAAATTTTAAATCATGAGTTTTAAGACTTGTATGAGGAGGGACCTAAAAGGAAAAAACATGGAATTATCTTCTGGAGGGAGGGTCCCCTGCAGTACAGGCTTCCCCTGCTAGGTGAGTGTTCTAGGAACTCACCTGTATCAGTGCACCAGGTAGGGGTGTTGTGAGAGGCTGCATTCAGCCTCAGTGAATGTTTTTTATTTTCTGAAGACTCTTTCAGCACATTTGCCCATTTTGTGATGGATGAGTTACAAGAGCACCTGCCCACACTGTGCTGAGTGTTCAGCAATTTTTGACCAAAAATGGCGTGATCCTTGTGCCCCACCCTTCCTATTCACCTGACCTTACCCCCAGTGACTTTTTTTGTTTCCCTGGATGAAAAAAGTCCTCAAAGGGAAATGTTTTGTTGATGTGGAAAAGATGAAACAAACGGCA